CATGCCTAAAGATGTTTATACGTATCATTATTAAATATTTATTTTGTCTGATATCTTAGATAGCAAAGGAAAATATGCTGGTCCTATTCATGTGACGCGGTATATAAAAAATGTGTTGCTGTTCTCTAAAGTCTCGTTAAAACTCGAGAATGGCTGGACCGATTTCGCTAATTTTGGTTTTAGAATATTTGTGGCAGTCCAGGAAAGGTTTAAACGATGAGAAATTATGAAAGAATTGCATGGATAATTGAAATAGCAACAGTTTAATTTTCCCATACAAACTGTACCTGTCCACCTGTCAACTATGTCTGTGTAACTTGGCAAAAAGTTCCAAATTACCTAGAAATAATTTATATGGCAAAACAACGTTTGCCGAGTCAGCTTGTATATATATGTGTGGTTGCCAAAGGAAAATATATAATTAAAAAATAAGGAGTGCCCAGCCTGCACGGAGCATCGCCGAGACCTGTGCGCTATCGTGGGGCACGACCTCTCGCTGCCGGCCGTGATTCGATTTCGAAATTTCAAATATGGTGGACAGCGAGAGGGAGTGCGGTGCTGTCCTTGCATTTTTTGAGGACATCATCACCTGGGAAGAGGCCGCGGAGCGAGAAAGGGAGGCAACTGCTACCCTGGAAATCCGCCGCCAGAGACCAGGGCGCAGGAGGATGGCCTACGCACACAACCGGATTTACTGCTGCCCCGTGGAGGCATCAATAGGGGTGCCGTGTTCATTGCACCGATACGGCACCATGTGGCTGGATCGGTGCAATGGACACGGCAATGTCCCTAACAGAGGAGGCCCGAGAAGGCCACACTCGCGCCGAGGTTCGCGGAAGATTGCGTTATCGTGTTCCCGTGTCTCCGGCAAAAGCGACTTCATAGGTGCAACGTGGGTTTTTAGTGGGTACCCCCGTGGGGGACTCCTGGGGACTCTGACATACATGACATGCCTTGTGGGCAGGCAGCGGGAGATTCCCACGTAAAAAAATATCAAATGATCGATTTTCAGACTCAAATCTTTTATTTTGTTAAGAAAGTTGATATGATAAATCGTTGCACTTGAAATGCCCCATTATAATTATTATATGCCCAATAGATGTTACCTTAGCAGTCGTACACAATTTATGTAGTGCTAAATGTATAATTAGGGAAATAATACGAAAATCGTGCGGTCAGTTTAAAAATAAATATTGTATAATTGTCAACCTACGTCCACGCGAATCAGCTTTTATCTCAATCCAATTTTATTCTAACGTGGTGTGTAATAAAGCTCAGCTCTCCGTTATTAATGATTCGGTTGAAAGTGAGTGAAGATATTTCCCAACGGAATGGAAAAATAAATTTCACCTAGATCCCTTGTTTCATATGACTTTTATATCAAAAAAATGTTTCTTCTTTACTTCTTGTGTGACTTTGAACAGTTTTTTTTTATTAGAGGTAATTTTAAAGTTTTGATTATATAGTACATAATCAAATAGACAAAGCACAAACATCAAATTAGATGGTCTCAAAGGTGCAAATTCTATTGCGTCTTGGCATCCGTACTATACGACTAATTAGGGTGGTAATGTATGTCATTTCTCTGTAAGCAATTTGTAAATGTGTAATTACTTATGTATAACATTGCAAAATATTATCCTTACTATTATAAAGGCGAAATGTTTGTATGTGATGTAACGTATATGATGGATGGATGTTTGTTACTCTCACGCAAATACTACTGAATGGATTATAATGAAAATGAAATAATGAAACTTTACAATAATATAGCTTACAAATCAGAATAAGACATAGGCTATAATTTATATACATATTTTATGTATATCTGTCTTTCTGTCTGAATGTTACGCCCACAGCCTATTCTACGCAGACGTAGTCGCGGTAAAAATTGTGTCATATTCAAGACGCAGGGAATTGTTATATTTTTCACTATGGTATGGCCGAACAGCAGACTGTTTGAAGAATGGCCAGGCTAAGTAGAAAAGTACTACGTTCTCACAGAACACCGGTACGAAGTGGAGGTATTATACATTTGTATTTTGGTGATTGAGGTAATCGGGGCAAGCTTTATGTAAAGCTCATAACCTGATGTTAAGTGATAACTGATAACGGACTTGTACAACACCCATAGGGTCGCAAATGCGTTGACACCTTTAAATAAAGTCCCTACGCTGTTTTAGATGTCTATGGGCGGCGGTCGTCACTTAACAGGTCACAACCATCACATTCCATCATTCAGCTCACTTTCCATCTTTTCACATAAAAATAGTATAAATGGAAAGTATTTAGATTATTACACTCATTATTATTGGTTCTCCTTGCGACGGGCTCAGCACCCTTCCCTTTTTGGTTTTTCAGAAGCTCGGTAAAAATTGAATAAGTTCATGTTCCGTACTTTATATTAATTTCACTTTTGTTATTATTATTGTGTTATTTTTTGTCCTTTATCAATCAGCCGTGATAGTTCAGTGTCCGGGCGCTCGCCTTTAATTCAATATATACTCGAGCAACCTGAGTTCGATCCCCGGTGCCGGCACCAATGGAGTTTTTTAACTTTAAGTGCTGAATTATCACGTGCTCCGCGGTGAAGGAAAACATCGTGCGGAAACCTGCATATTTTCGAAATAATAACAAAAAAAAAAATGTATTTCGAAAATATGTGAAGTCCGCCAATCCGCAGTGGGGCCGCGTGGTGGACTATGCCCTGATACCCTCTGTATAGAGGAGGCCTTTGCCCAGCAGTGGGACATGTATAGGCTGTTACTTTACTTTTTTTACTTTTTATCAATACTCGTTTCATTAGACATAATTTCGTTCATTTTCAACGAAACCGAGAGATGGCTCTGGATATGATATTAAAATTCTAATCATGCCGGGAATAAATGGAGCTTATCGTTATTTATGTCGTATTCATTATCTCGACCTTTCGGGAGGAAAACATTTTCAGATTATTCAAAAGGGCACCCCAATAAGAAATGTATTCCACCAACGTTTTCGCTCTCGTTAAGTTTCACGTTACTTGATTACTAAATCTGAAATCAATCCACAGTAGCTCGTTTACTGTGGTAAATTAATAATAACGGTTTCTTTGCATTGCTTAATAATTCTATTCGTAGTCTCCTGTTAGTCGCATAATTTGAACCGTCTAGAAGTCTAGAACATTGAGCTTAGAACACATCGAACGTATGTCAGTTCGTTTGTGCACTTACACTTAAAGAACTGCAGGTCCAATGGACCTCTTTTATTTTGGATATTAGGCACATAGTCTCAATTATAACTTTAAATACGTATAAGTAACGATAAAAAATCATCATCATCATTTCAGCCTGTTCGAGTCCGTCGAGCCTGCTGAACATAGGCCTCCCCATAGACTTCGAGAACAGAGCCCCCAACAACAACCACTTCGCTTAGTTGCTAAAGCGTTTGGGCACGATACCAGAAGTGGCAGGTTTGAGTTCAGCAGCGCCGAAAGAAAAATTTATCGACAAAAAAGAATAATTTAACATCAGATTTGATCTTGGTCTTGTCAATGTTCATCTTAAGGCCCACACGTTGGGAGACACTGTTGAGGTCCTTGCGCTTAGAACCAAGGTCCTCCAGCGATTCTGCCATGTCGTCGGGTAAATTTAAGATGGGCGATATATTCACAACCGATGTTAATCCACCTCATCCTTTTCAGTCCAGAATCTTGAAAACATCTTCCAATGGAGCGGTGAAACGTTTCTGGAATATGACATCTTACCCTATAATACCCTTCTGCAGTTGGATAAGTTTTGTACTGGACTGTACGTGGACAGACGAATTTTTTCTCTGTACTAAAAATGTGTCATATAGACACATTCTTATATCCTAAATTGATCAAGGTCCCTAGTTATTTAGTCAAAATTTTTGAGGTATAGTTAAACTTTTGGTTCATTTACTATTTTACGATTAAAGTTTACTATTTTAGAATTATTGCTTGTCTGTGCACTCAAGATGAAACTTTAAAAGTAATTTTTGTAAATAAACGACAGTATCTTTCGGCGCTTCGGGATTCGAATATGTGTCTTCCGAAGATGCAAAAAATCACATTCGGAGTTTCCTTTATTGTTTTTATTCATTAACTTAAGTATGTTACATATTGTAATAAAACCAATACAACAAATCTCTGATACAAAAGCACAATTAAATCCAGGCTTGTGGATATTATTCCACAATTTGTTCTTATTCTATTTAACTAACTTTACTTTGTAGAATATAATTAATTATTAATATTAGATGTTTACTGTTCCAAGTCTCGAACCCAACAAGACAGGCTCATTCTAATGTCATATATCTATATCTATCTTCTATATATAGAATTTTATTTCGTTTATAGCTGTAAATACGTCATATAAAAATATAGAATTACTAAACACTATTTGTAACATTATTTGTAAGCCCTCGGGTGATGATGTACGAAGCTGGCGCGAGGCCTGCTTTAAACGAGTCTCGGGGGCCCTGTCCCCATTACTCGGGCATGTATCTCGACCAGCGAATGGCTGGTCGGTGGTGAGGATGGCCATCGGCCATCCCTATCCCTGACCGCGGTAGCGGCACTTGCGGGTGTACGGCGTTACACGCGGTGTGTAACGCGAGGACGACATCGTCTTCGACACAGCGGCGGAAGTGCGGTCGGGTCCGGCCCCCCAATGGCCTGTTCCGACCGCAGTAGCTCTCGTGGGAGCGGACGTCCGTCAGGAGGACGGGCGTGGAGTGGAGCAATATTCTCCAGGTGTGGGTGTGGTCCGTTGTCAGCCCTGTCGTACAAGCGACGGGCCAACCGGACCACAAACTCCTCGATGGACACGATCTTCAGGTCTCTGGCGATTACGTCGTTCCTGACGTAACGCCCGGCTCCCACGATTGCTCGAAGGGCGAGGTTCTGCTGCGCCTGGAGCCTGCGCCTCTGCGAGGCGGAAACCAGTGCATACCACGCCGGAGCGGCGTAGGTCAAGCGCGAACGGATGTAGGTTTTATAGACGCCCAGTCTTAACAGGTAGCTTGGATGCCAGGATTGGGTAAAGGACCGCTCGAGCTGCCCTGGCTTGTCGAACAGAGTGTTCGACTTGGGGCGCCATACTCAGCGAGCGGTCTATCCGGCACCCAAGATACCTGATGGTGTCCTGGTTCGTTATCGCTTGACCCCGCAGCTCAAGCGTGGGTTGGTGTTTGATGTGGCGGATGAAGATGGCGGACGTTTTGTCAACATTGACAGACATCCGCCACCTATCCAACCACTCGGGCAGCAGGTCCAATTGGCGCTGCATCTTCCTCGCCGCAAACGCCGCGTTGTGTGAAGACGTGAAGAACGCACTGTCGTCCGCGTACAGGGCCAACAGTACGTCTTCGTCCCAGTCGGAGGCGTTTTGCTCCAAGGTGGGAATGTCATCCGTGTACACCGCATACAGGTGTGGCGACAGACAACTACCTTGTGGTACACCGGCTTTGATGCATCGTACCGCCGAGTCGGCTCCCTCGACGTGTACGACGAACTTCCGGTCCCGGAGAAACGACGCTACTAACCGCACGAGCGCACGGTGGGTGGTGGTATTTTCCAGCAGCTTATGTAGCAGGCCTTCGTGCCACACTCTGTCGAAGGCCTTCTCCATGTCGAGAAGGACCCCCAGACAGATGCGGCCCCGGTTGTACTGAGCCGCAAGATAGTGCAGCACTCGGGCCAGCTGCGCCGTGGTGGAATGGCCGCTGCGGAAACCGAACTGTCCCCTGCGTAGCTCGATGCAGGGAACTATTCTCCGCAGCAGCAACCGTTCAAAAAGTTTGGCTACGTGCGGCAGTAGCGTAATCGGTCGGTAGCTTTCCGGAAGTCGTCGGTCCTTGCCCGGTTTCGGCAGGACGATGATCTTACCGGTTTTCCACTCAGAGGGGAAGTGCGCCGTGCGCAGTACACCATTGTACAGGCGGCACAGCGTCACTAACCCCCTTTTCGGTAGTTGCCTTATCGCCAACGTCGTGATTCCGTCGGTGCCGGGTGCCTTGCGGAGCGCGAGATGACTCGCGGCTCTACGCACTTCGGCCGGAGTGATGAAAAGTCCACCATCCAGCCGTGGCACCGGCTCCGACAGGAACACCTGTATGTGCCGCTCCACTTCTTGGTGGAACGCAATGGCGCCTGGGGCCGATGTGTTGGCCACAAATTGCCCTTCTAGGTGCTCTGCCAATATGTCAGCCCTGTCTTGGGCTGCAGCGTGCTTACGCCCATCGCTACCCACGAGTGGACAGATGGGCTGTGATGTGCGGCTGAGCTGTCGGTTAAGGTGGTGAAGGGAGGTCTGCGACTCGGAGGCCTGCTCAATGCGGCGCTCCCACCCCTCACCCCTGTACGCCTTGATGGCTGCCGACAGCTCGTCCTTGAGCCGATTGAGTTTTGTCTTTACTCGTGGGCAGCGGGTGCGGGCCCACAGCTTTCTAAGCTCCCTCTTCTCGTGTAACCGATCGAGGAGCCTACGCGGGAGCGTGTCTTTTCGGTGCACCTGCGGCACCGCCTTGGTCGCCGCGCGCAATTCTTCCTGTATTTTACAGGTGATTTTGCGCGCGGCCTGTTCCACGTCTTCCGCGGTTGATATGGGTGCACCGAAGCTAAATGTGGACATTGCCCTCGAATAGGCTCCCCAATCGGTCCTATATTTAGGGCCCCTGGGAGCCAGTGAGTCCGCAGCCAGACTCAGCACGATGAGCACAGGGAGGTGCTGCGTGTCCGCATCGTACAGCACCTCTACCTGGACAGCCCTCGGGTGTTGCAGATGTCCATGGGCGGCGATGATCACTTACCATCAGGTGAGCCTCCTGCTCGTTTGTTGCTTTTTTCCCATAAAAAAAACACAGTCACAAAATCATTACAATATAAATTATTTCAAGGCAAACATTGGCACACATTAATAACGTTCCTATAACCTTTTTCACGCTGAGTTCATTATTTAGAAAAAGGTTCAGGTATAATGTTATCGTGGTTAGTTATTTATTACATTATTCAGTAATGACCTTTATATTAAATAAGAAGTAAGTAAGATTTCGATCATGGTGGGTTTGAAAAATTACTATCTCACTTTGTGTCTTACATAGGGCGATAGGCCTGCCACCTATCACAGTGCCATTGGCATTAAGTCCGTATAGTAAGTAAAAATAAAATAAATATCACGTTAGGTTAAAAAAACAATGAAATACTTTCGATAGCATCAGCCATCTTTATCGATCCCGTCAGAGTTATAAAAGTCTTAGGGTTATGCATGCGTGTTCATTTTGCTAAATTATTTAATTTGTGGACTTGTTACAATTAACAAGTCCACAAATTAAATGTAGCCTTCGGAAGTTTATAGTGCAAAGTCTTTATTTTAAATCAAAATAACGAAGCGAGTTCCAAAAAAGGGGATACCACGAAAATCTCCATGAAAAAATTTACATTCTTGCTAATTTTCATGGTTATAGACCGAACTGTGTTGCAATAACATCCATTTCACCAAATACACTGATTAAGTCATCTCCTCAACTACTATTCTATGCCACATAGTAGCAAATAAGCAAATCAAACAGGATATCATGATATCCCCTTCGATTTGCTAATTGTGGCCCTAGTGTAATTCCGCCCGATAAAGTCTTTAAGTATAATACTTTTTTAATGGGAGAAGATGTCAAACGCACTCAACGGACGTCTATATAAAATATATAAAATCATAGAAGAGAATGAGCCCTAGGTAAATTAATCGCAGACGAAATGCGCCGTATGCTGGTTTTTTATGTGATTGGAACTTTAGCATGAAGATAACAAAAAAAATGTAATGTTGAGGCCATGAAATATTTGGATATCCATGTTATCTAGAACATCGAAAAAAAGGTTTATTTAATAATAAAATACAACAATAAGCTAATAAAAATAAACGGACCTCTACAAACATGAATTTCTTTAGCTGCGTAATACGATTCAATATAAATTTTATGGAACAGGAAACTCTGATTACGATCCTTCAAATATGTATCTAGGGAGCTATCCGGAATCAGGATTAAGCGCACCACAGTAAATACAAGTGATTACGCTTATAATTTCATTTATATTTCTTTTAAGTATGATGAAGTCCGGTTCTATTTAGCTTCATGTATTTTCTACAAAATTAGGAAAGCCAAATGTGACCGTTTTTAGGGTTCCGCACCCAAGGGGTAAAACGGGACCCTAAAAATAGACTAGACTCCGCTGTCCGTCTGTCTGTCTGTTTGTCTATCTGCCTGTCCGTCTGTCAGGAAACTCTGATTACGATCCTTCAAATATGTATCTAGGGAGCTATCCGGAATCAGGATTAAGCGCACCCCAGTAAATACAAGTGATTACGCTTATAATTTCATTTATATTTCTTTTAAGTATGATGAAGTCCGGTTCTATTTAGCTTCATGTATTTTCTACAAAATTAGGAAAGCCAAATGCGACCGTTTTTAGGGTTCCGTACCCAAGGGGTAAAACGGGACCGTAAAAATAGACTACACTCCGCTGTCCGTCTGTCTGTCTGTCTGTCTGCCTGTCCGTCTGTCCGTCTGTCACCAGGCTGTATCTCATGAACATTATCACAGTCAAAATTGGTAAATTAAAATTTAATTTGTGAATATCTGCAATCTAAGTCTTTTAGAGTTAATGCTTGTCGTGTGGTTTACATGTAAGTATTTACTAAGCCACAAATAAATACAATTTTAGGTTTATGTAAATATGTATTGTAGTTTGTATAATTATATAATATTACTTTTATATTTTACCATCAGTTAATGGCCTTTTGACAAATGAATCAACATAAGTTCGATATACATTGTAATTTATTAACATAAGAAGTTAAATAATGTTTATATTGTTTTTACAAGTTATGTTTCTATTGCTCCTCTTCCTCTGCGACTTCTACTCGGTAGCAGAAGACAGGAAGAGTGACTTCTCCACCAACTTCGACCCCCCTGCACCCTCCAAACACACATCCAGAGTAGGCTCAACCGTCTTACACTACAGGCTGGCAGAGAGTGGATTACTCTTGGCTGCACCGTGGATGACCAAGCTACGGATACTGAGCCCCTCCGCCACAACAAGGCGGGAACCTGGTCCGAGGGAGTGCCGACCCCCATTTAGGTGGTGACTCATCATCATTATCTGAGGCATTACAGCCGCGGGTGGGCCTGGTGGCCTTAGCCTGGTCAAGCAAATCTCTCCAGTCCGATCTATTCATGGCTTTGTTTCTCCAGCCTATAACCCCCAACATCTTGGTGTCCTGTTCGACGCCATCTAACCACCTGAGCTTGGGCCTGCCCCTACTCCTGCGGCCCTCCGGCCGGCCCTTTAGAAGGCATTTGGGTACTCTGGCCTCGTCCATTCGCACCACGTGTCCTGTCCATCGCAGGCGTCCGATCTTTATGAACCTGATGACGTTTGGCTCATCATATAATTGGTATAGCTCGTGGTTGTAACGCGTTCGCCATATCTCATCTTCCATCAGAGCTCCAAAGATACGTCTAAGTATTTTACGCTCAAATACCAACAAGGAATTTTCGTCCTTTTTGCTCAGTGCCCAGCATTCCGAACCGTAGGTAAGTATGGGCCTTAGTAAGGTTTTGTACAGTAGAAGTTTAATGTTTCTTCAAAGAAGTTTTGAGCGAAAATATCTTAGCAGGCCGAAGTAGCCCTTCTTAGCGGCCATTATTCTTCTGCTTATTTCTGAAGATATATCGTTCTTATTAGTTACTAAGGACCCAAGGTATACAAATTCATTGACGGTAGAGAAGGTATTATTGCCAATGTTGATTCCTTGTAGTAGAGCTTGCTCTATTTTTGCTTGTCTTTTGAAGGTTTCAGCGTACTTAGTCTTGGCCATGTTTACCTGTAGACCGACTTCCTCAGCTGATTTCTCAAGAGCAAGGTATGTACTCTGTATTGCAGGCAGGGATCTACCTATCACGTCGAGGTCATCTGCATAACCCAAAATTTGGACGGATTTCTGGTAGATAGTCCCTTTGGTCTCGATTTTTGAGTCGCGCACCATCCCCTCGGTGGTGACTCAACAAACCTTTAATAAATAATTAATATATATAATTAATGTATATAATAATTTAATAAATAATACTAAGTATACTATATTCGATGACTCCGTGGCGCAGTTGCCAAGGTAATGGCTTCGGCGTCGGGGGTCGTAGTTTCGATTCCAACACGGGGCAGCTATTTGTAAGACCCACAGATAGTTGTTTCGCATCTGGGCGTTTGTCCGCGTGAAATTTATGATTGTAAAACATCCCTACAACATAGAATAATGTTATCCTAAAGTAAGAGCAATGTTTAAAAAAAAATAACAAAAAAAACTATTTCATTTATTAAAAAAAATATTAAAAACTCTTATTTTGATAATAATGTGTTTTCGTTTTGTTATACAGAAATCTTATCTTTTTAATTACATCATTAAAACTGTAATGATGAAAATAAAATGTCAAGGGTTGTTCGTCAGGATAATTGCAACATTTCTTTTGATAAATGGCATATCCTTATTCCTTGCGACATAGTCACAAGCTGTCTTTTATAATCAACAAACATGAAATAACAAAGTTTTTACTGGCCTATTTTAAATTTGTAGACATAAAAAACATCTGGTGATTTTTAAAGAACAGATGAAGTTATCGTTTTATTCAAATCAGTCATTGAAAACTTTTCCAGAAGTAATAAAATGTAAATGAAGGCAAACTTTAATATGCCATTATTTCATTAAAAAATTGAGGTCTTATGATTAAGGTATGCAACTGTTTAACTGTTCACTTTAAGCCAAATTCAACGAAAATATGCCGAAGTATGTAGTGTAAAATAGTAACCTGAAAAGTGTAAAATGCATAACCTAAGCACTATAATTGTTGTTCGTTATAAGGGGTTCTGTCATATTATGAACCATTATGGTCCAAGAGCCCGGGGCCGCCAGACGTTACTTATTTTCTGAGTAACAAACCACTGAGTAAGGGGGTCCATTAATTACCTGAGGTAATTTTGGTGATTTTTTGACCCCCCCTCTCCTCTTGTTGAGATGTCGTGAGAATTTGTTCGACCCCCTCTTCCCCCGCCCCCATCTCACGTGAGATTTAAAAAAATGCATAGTTTTCATGTAAATAAGTTAATCTATGCTTCATTAAATTAGATTTATTTAAAAAAAAACAATGCTTATATTTTTTTTTATTTAAGATATCTTTAAGATATCTAATAACGGAGCATAGAATCACAGTGAAAAAATCGACGAATAAAATACTTAAATAGAAAGTACTAAAATTTGAAACAGAATAATCACTCTAATTCAGTCTACGGAGACTCATGTATATCAAGAGTGACTACTGGAACCAACATGTCCACGTAATTTTCAGTAAAATCATCTGCTCCTTCAACCTCGCTCTGATATAGCAATTCTAATCAAAGCTCAGTAGCTCGACGTGTGACAATCTGTGAGGGTCGCACTTTGCGCGCTGCAGGCTTAGAGTTTTACCCTGTATGCAAATGTAAATGATACATGGCTGTACAAGTTTTTTTGCGAGATCAGGCCCCTACTACGAGTAGCTATAGCGGGATATTGTTTTTTACTTTTGTTTTCTGGATTACATATATTTA